TAGAGAAAAACGTTCTTTGATCCTTTTTGAAGAGTGTTCCTCAAGAAAATCCTATATTTTCTTATGAAAAGCATGTTTGAAAACCCATTCCTTCCATGACTTCTCGGTTCATACTAGATGTGCACAATCCAAGGAGTCATGGAATGAATATGAATATCCGTTAGTAGAATAATAAATCATCAGTTTTAGAAAAGCCGGTGTTATCCCGGGAAATCCTATATTTTCCCTAAAACAGGTTATCCATCCTAGAGGTAGATATGTAAGTTTAGAAATCCCTGAATTACTATCAGTATATATGAAAGTAGTTTTATTACTCAAAATAAAACAAATGAAGATTAGATTCCGTAAACCAAAGTTAGTTTATACTTATTTGCGAGTCGTATAACCATACTTGATATGACCTAGAGACCTTTACAACGTTCTTCAAGCGTTAAGCTAAATGACATTTGTTCACCTCAGGCATGCCTACCTCACTGTAGCTAGCAGTTTAGGTGTGGGATTGTCAGTCCCGAATAGATCTATTCACAAATCTCACGCTCTCCCTCCAGGAGACTCTGGTTATACTAAGATAGGATTTAACCCTGTACACCTAAGGGTACAGTTTCGAAGTAGAGCCTCACAATTCTGTATAATCTATTTTACTAGCTAGAAACAATATAAAACAATAATTATCCTTGAATAATAGTACTTTACTCCTGAGAAAATATATAACATAAACTAAATCTGCCATAGTTTATATATATATTCATCCATGAAATCTGATTTGGTAGAAACTGCCTAGAGGGTTATCCCAAACTATACCCATTATAGTTTAATAGAATTGTTATGGAAAATGCTTTGTAAAAACCTTTCTGAAAGCTATGAAGTTAGAATTCCAAAATATAAGTTTCCCTTATGCTCAACATATTACAAAAAGGGATAAAATATCCGAATATGCTATTAAACGTGGAAATCATTGAAATGTATTAATAAGTTTAAAACTTAGTAAAATACTTTGAATTTGGCTTGTATTCCCCCCTGAAAACATTAAAAACACGGAAAATGTAGGGGTATGAACTCACCTCGGGTAAGTGGTTTGATTGAAGGATCGATACGGAAATCTGAATGTTCAAGTGAAGCCTTGAACACGATTTGATCCTAATTAACATGTAATGACACATAAAGGAGTCAAATGAAGGTATTTCACCACTAGATGTGATGGAGCACCACTCTAGGGACTTGGAACTACTTGCACTAAGTGTTAGGACCTTAAAGGATTGCATGAGGGAGGTGTATGGCCACTTTGAGTGTGTGTGCGGCCATGGGTGTGCGGCCCAAGGGGTGTGTGGCTGTACACTCATGTTAGAAAGTGTCTTTGAGGTGTTTCAAGGTCCATATATGCATCCATGAAGTCTTCTAGGTCTATACTCAATTGTAGTGCAAGTTAAGGGTCCTAGAAGTGGGTTTGCAGCCCTAGGATGAGTGTGTGGCAGCACACTAGAGTGTGCTGCCGCACACAAGGAGTGTGCTACCGCACAAGGGTGTGTGCGGTCGTACACCCCACATGATGATGTCCAAAATGCCAATTCTAAGGTGTAGCAAGGCTAGGGTCATGTCCAACTCGAATATGGAAGTCAAACTCTCACTTTGGAGGGTATTTTATGAGTGTGCTGCCACCTTATGGGGGTGTGCGGCCGCACTCACTTCCAAACACGAAGAACATGACGAATATTGCACACTTAAGG